GGGACCGGAGGGGACACCGAGCCCGCTGCCTCTCAGCAGGGTGTGAAGCAGGCTCATTTGGAGAGGGCTGCCGCCAGCACTGTGACTGCGAGGCCGGGGCACCCTGCGACCCCGTCACCGGCCAGTGCCTTTGCCCCCCAGGGCGCACAGGAGCCACCTGTGACCATGGTAAGTCTGGGGTCCCACTTGGCGGGGCACAGGTGTGGGTCTCTGCCTTTGGCGAGTGCTGCTGGTGCAGGTGGAGCCTCAGCTGTGCTCCGCCCTGGGCACATCTCCCCCCTCTGTGGGGGGCAGCTGCTGGAGGGGGCGCCCAGCATGAGGCTCCTGCTCAGGGTTGTCAAGGCCCCACACTCTGCTCTCTGGCCAGAACGGGGGCCCAGTTGGGCGGGGTGGAGACCTGCCTGATCTGCCAGCCTGCCCGGACGGAGGAGGGGCCGCACACGTGAGCTCACGGTTGTGCGCTCAGCTTGACCCGGGGAGGAGCGTCCCTGACCGCCAGGCCCCCTCTGCCAGCCCCAGGGCCGAGCAGGGAGCGGGGTGGTGACGCCGGGCAGGTACCCGGTACCTGGCGCTTTCTGGTGTGGGAGCTCACGTGGGGCGGGAAAAGCAAGGCCTGGGGCCTCCGCTCCCTCACGCTCCTGCACAGAGGGCCTGGGTCCCCTGGGCAGGGCAGGTGGACGGACCCTCAGGCCTGTCTCTCCTACTTCCTGCTGCCTGCAGACTGCAGACCGGGCTTCTTTGGGCCAGGCTGTGCCTTGCGCTGTAGCTGCGGAGCTGGGGCCGGTTGTGACCCCGTCAATGGGCAGTGCCACTGCGTGGACGGCTACACTGGGCCCACCTGCCAGCAAGGTGAGCCAGGCTCCCGAGGGGTTGGAGGGAGGGCGACATGCTTCTCAGCCCCACCCCCGGCGTCCACCCCACCCCACCCCTGGCGCGGGCCCCATCCCTCCTCCCCACACACGGTGCCCCTGCGAGGACATCACCATCCCAGCTGGGTACCCCTGTTGTCCGTATGGCTGCTGATGGGCGAGGTGCGGACGGTGGGGCCGGGTTCTGCCGCGCCAGCCGCCCACGGTGGCCCTAGACGGCAGCAAGGGTGGGCTCAACCCCCGGGGCAGGGCTGAATGCATCCGCTGACCTGGCCCTCCACCCCTCCCCTCCTTGCCCTGCGTGTGTGAACCAGAGCGTGATGGTGCGCCCGTGTGTGTGTGTGTGTGTGTGCGTGCGTGTGCTGCAGTCTATATGCTAACCCGTGTGTGTGCACGCTGGTGCGTGCCCGTGCCCCTGTGCACGTCGGTGCCTGCCTGCACCCCCAGGCAGTGAGGGAGGGTGCAGGAACTGCACCTTGGCCCCTCAGCCCCCTGGGGGGACGTGCCTCTGCAGGCAGAGCTCTGCGGTGCCCCTGGGGTTCCGCGGTCAGCTTACCCAGACCCAGCCTGCTGAGAGGGAAGGGCTGTGTGTGCTGAGAAGGTCGTGCCTGGGGCCCGTCTGGGGCCCGTGCGGACGGGCTGTGCACACAGGTGAAGCCAGGAGCCAGGCTGGGTGGGGATTCCAGACAGGTCCTCGGCTGGGAACCCCAAATGCGGGCCGGATGTTGTGCAAGCGTGCCTTCCAGCCTGAGGCGGCCCTGGGCCCAGGAGTGTTGGGAGTCCCGGGGGCGGGGTCTCACGGGAGGTGGGGTGGGGGCGGGGCGGTGGAGGCGGGGCTTGCAGGGCTGCGGCTCGGGACGCAGCGCCACCCACGGCGGCACCTGGTGGTCGGCTGTGGGATTGCGCCGCAGGCGCTGCTAGGCGGTCCTAGCAGCCTGGACAGGTGGCAAGGGTCTGGGACCTGTGTCACCCCTGAGCCCGGTGGGAAGGAGGAGAGGCGAGGCCTCCCTGCCTTGCAGTTCTGGGCCCTGTTCACTTTCCTGGAGTGGAGCGGCTAGCTTCTAGTAAAACCCCTCTCCATCCAGCCTCAAAGTCCCTCTTCCCGGCCCTCCGTGATACTGGCCTGGGGGCACTGGGGGCTTTCATTTGCAGAGGGAGGGCCCTACAGGCCTAGGTGGCAGAGAGGCATTTGCTGGTGTCACTGGTCTGTTACCAGGAGACTGAGGCCAGAGGAGGGATGAGGATTGTGCATGTAATTACTTATAACCCAGGCCCCACAGGGTGGCGGGCAGGCCAGAATCTGGACCTCAGACACGGGGCGGTGCAGAAGCTGGGGGGGAAGGGCTGGGCTGTCTCCCCTTCATCGGCCTGGAGCTGGAGGGGCAGGAGGGGACACCTGAAGTGGGAGCCCAGAACTGGCCGGGTCGAGAGTTTCCCCGTGCCCCGGGGCTGACCCTCCTTTCCCCTGTCCCTACAGCGGCCTTGCAACCGGCCTCTGACCGACCAGCACCTGGGCTCAGCAGCAGGGCACAGAAACACTAGCACAGAGGCAGCAGTCAAGCAGGCCCGTCTCCCGGGTGCTCTGGCGACGACTGAGGAGGGCGCCTGTAGGCCAGGACTCCAGCCGCAGCCTCGTCCCCGAGGGCCGTGTGCAGCCACGCAGCCCCTCGCTCTGCAAGGATCGGCTGGCACGGGGAGGGAGGCCCTGGCCGGCCCAGCCGTGAGGAGCCCGGACGAGTGGACCGGCCCTACTGGCTGTGCGTGCTGAGCAAGCCCGCCTCCCCGGGTGGGGACTGAGGTGTGGGCGCAGGTGCGGCAGGGGACCCCTGCCCCCTGAGCTGGTTCTTCTGGTGCTAGGCCCTGGGACTGCTGTGGCCCCGTCTGTTCGCCTGGAGCCGCAGCCCACTGTATTTATGTAAAAGTATTTATGGGCAGCTGGACACGCCCGCCGCACCCTGGGCACCGAAGGCTGCCCGTCCCCTGCGCCACGAAACCCTGACGCGGGACCTTGGGGCTCTGAGGGGCCTCTGGGTGGGGGACTCTGGTACATGTGAAACCCAGTAATTTAAGGAAGAAGCAGTCGCTTCCTTGTGACCTGTGTGCTCCCTGCTTCGGGCTCACTGTGGTGGCCTCCCGGGTGCGCCCAATGAGTGTGTTTGGACAGGGATCCCCTCCTGACCGGGGAGGCCCCGTCTGGCCCCCCCCCCCCCCCCCCCCCCCCGCTCCCCCAGGGTGTGGCTGGCACACGAGGAGGGTTGGAGTTTGTCCTGGTTCCCGGTGCCCTGGAGGGGCACAAGGGGGCTGGTCTGTGCGTGGGCCCCTCGGGGAGGAGGCTGGCCCGAGGGCAGGGGTGCTGTGGTGGGGGGGGGCAGGCTGGGCACCCCACCCCTCCTGTCTTCAGAGCAGAAACGGTGGAGGGGTGAAGAACATCCAGTAGAGTGGGCTGCACCCAGATGGTCAGGCCGGACACTTAGGGTCGGGGCTGTAGCCCCTCTGCCCTTCCCTTCGACACCAGCCTAGCTAGCTGATCCCCTCAGGGCAAAGCGTCTCATGGAGCGAAGTGACCCACCCTGTCCCCTTGGGCAGACACCTAGTGAGCAACCCGTGGCAGAGGAGATCAAAGGGACGGGCCACTGTGTTAAGGTCTTAAAGTCCCAGGAGGGACAAGGGGGGACAGATTGGTGACATGATACAGGAAGATGCGGTCACAGGAGGACCGGTTGTGAAGGCTGGGGGTGGAGCTGTGCAGGGTGGGCGGCGCCTGGAGGCCGCAGGGAGGCTCCTAGAGGGGACGGGGGACGGGGACAGGGGACCGGAGAGGACGGTTAGCAGAAACAAGGGGAGTTGTGAACATCCTTCTAATTGAAGTTCTGGAACAAGGAGGGAAAAAAATGACGGAAGCAACAACAGAAGTTGTCTGGCCAGAAGGTGAACCGTCTCAGACCAGAAGCGCTCCACGCATAACACAAAAGTAAAAGAGCCAGGATTCCAAGAATTTTAAGAAAATCACCGGCAAAGAGAGACTCTAAGACGCCCAGAAAAGAAGGGAAGTCCTGGTGACGTCAGACTTGACGGCAGAAACTCGGGAATTGAGGACCGTGGCGCTGTTTTCAAAGCACGGATGATGCTCGAGATTGATGTTACTGTTCAAGCGTCTGGAAAACAAAGTCAGGGTTCTTCTTGGGTCTCCCAAGTCCCCACTGGGTGAGCCCTCGAAAGCCTGATCTCAAGATGCACTCAGAGGACGCTCACCAGCAAGGAGAGAAAGCCTAGGAAGGTGCAGTGAGATGTCCCCACGGTTCCCGCATGACCTGCTAATGGAATCAGGTATTCCCCTGAGCCGGCAGCAGAGACCCCGAGAGTGTGTGTGGCAGGGGTGGGGAGGGACATCAGCAAGCCCCACGCAGCAGGTGAGCGCAACTGAGTGCAGACATGTGGTAACAGGCTAGGTCACTTCCTGCCCGGAGGGAATGTCATCTCCGGTGGAAAGTGGAGAAGGAGGAATAATAAAGCAGAGTGAGAAGGTAGATTAGCAAAGCCTTGTAAGTGGCTACAAAGGACATCAAAACACTGATCCGTGGGTTGCGTCAGACCTCATTCTGTGGTACTTTAACTGTCAAAGACCTGCCTCGAAGGACAAAAACATAAGCTTACGAAATAAAAGAAAGCCAGGGTGGGGGCGCCTGGGTGGCTCAGTCGGTTAAGCGGCCGACTTCAGCTCAGGTCATGATCTCGCGGTCAGTGAGTTCAAGCCCCGCGTCGGGCTCTGTGCTGACGGCTCGGAGCCTGGAGCCTGTTTCAGATTCTGTGTCTCCCTCTCTCCGACCCTCCCCCGTTCATGCTCTGTCTCTCTCTGTCTCAAAAGTAAATAAACGTTAAAAAAAAAAATTAAAAAAAAAAAAGCTGGGGTAGGAGTTTTAACGTTTCTGGGCAGAAAGCATCGTAAGTGACTCTATAAATACATGTACAGATAAATGCACAAGACAGTAGAGGCTCTGAAGTCCATAAAAGTGACACTATAACAGGTAGAAATAAACGACGGTGGGTGATTTTTTAACGTGTTCCTTAAAAAAAAAAAAACACGTTAAGCAAGCAGGACATAAGCAATGATAAAATTTTAATAAGCTCTAACATGCGTGGTATACATGTAAACTTACGTTCATATATTTATATTCTTATGTACAGAATTTATATTCGTGTATATAAACTTTACATTCAGCAAGTGGAGAATGATGGGGCACTTAAGCCTAAAATTCCATTGAAGATGAATAAGGAAGAAAAAAACTAGCAAGGCTGATGATACTAAAAAAAATTTTTTTAATGTTTTATTTTTGAGAGAGAGAGAGA